TGAGCCCCATGTCGGGCTCTGTGCTGACAGCTCAGAGCATGGAGCCTGCTTCAGATTCTGTGTCTCCCTCTCTCTCTGCGCTCCTCCCCTGCTCGCATTCTGTCTCTGTCTCTCTCAAAAATAAACAGTCAAAAAATTTTAGAAAGAAAAAAAAAAGAAGTCCTTGAGACAGAAGGAAAATAGTATCAGATGAAAAATACAGAATTTACACAAAGGAAGAATAAAGAGCCCTGGAAACGGCAAAAATGTAAATAGACAGAAAATACTTTTTATTTTTAAATGTCTTAAAAGAAACTGACTTTTCAAAATCATAGAGATGGAAAGTAAAACAGTGGTTGCCAGGGGCTGGGGGAAAGGAAGAAAGCGGAGTGACTGTTTAATGAGTACAGAGTTTCAGTTTTACAAAACAAAAAAGTTGTACATTCGTAAGAAGTATAGAGGTGATGGTTACACAACATTATGAATGTATTTCATACCACCGAACTATATACCTAACAATGGTTAAAACTGTAAATTTGGGGGCACCTGGGTGACTCAGTTGGTGGAGCGTCTGACTTTGGCTGAGGTCATGATCTCACAGTTCGTGGGTTCAAGCCCCACCTCGGGTTCTGTGCTGACAGCTCAGAGCCTGGAGCCTGCTCCAAGTTCTGTGTTTCCCTCACTCTCTGCCCCTATCCCGCTCATGTGCTCTCTCTGGCGCTCTCTCTCTCTCAAAATTAAACATCAAAAAAATTTAAAATTTTGTTTTAAAAAGACAGTAAATTTCATGCTATGTGTATTTTACCACAATAAAAAAAATAGACTATTTAAAGTAATAACAATGTATTTGGGGTTTATGACATATGTGGAAGCAAAAACATGTTAACAACTGCATAGACGCAGAGAAAGGAGAAATGGAAGTATAATGTTTTAAGTGTCCTATACTATGCATGAAGTGATATATTAATTGAAGCTACACTATAGTAAGTTAAAGATATATAAAATAGGGGCAGTGCCTGGGTGCCTCAGTCAGGTAGGCATCCGACTTCCGCTCAGGTCATGATCTAGCCTGACCTGATCAAACTTGGTTCGATCCCTGTGTTCGAGCCCTACGTCGGGCTCTGTACGGACAGCTTAGAGCCTGCAACCTGCTTCAGATTCTGTGTCTCCCTCTCCCTCTCTCGTGCTCTGCTGGTGCTCTCTCTCTCCAAAATAAATAAAAACATTAAAAAAAAAAAAGATACATAAAATAAACCCTACATCAACCAACAAAAACAAAGAACTGTACCTAAGAAGCCAACAAAGTAAATAAAATGAAATCATAAAAAACACCCAGTAGTCCAAAAGGCAGGAAAAGGGAACAAAGAACTGATTGGACAAATAGTAATTTGCAAGGGCACGGTGCCTGGCTAGTTCAGTCACAGGAGTGTCCAAACGATCTCAGGGTAGTGAGTTCAAACCCCACGCTGGATGCAGAGAGTACTTAAATACACTTAAAAAAAAAAAAGAAAGAAAGAAAGGAATTAGCAAGATGGTTGTTTTAAACACAACCATACAAACAATCATACTAAAGATAACCCCAACACTCCAGTTAAAAGGCAGAAATTTTCAGAATGGATAAAAAGGCAAGGCCCTACTATATGGTGCCTGTAAGAAATCTACTTGAAATACAGGCACAAATAGAAGACACACTAATCAGGGGCGCCTGGGTGGCGCAGTCGGTAAAGCGTCCGACTTCAGCCAGGTCACGATCTCACGGTCCGGGAGTTCGAGCCCCGCGTCAGGCTCTGGCCTGATGGCTCAGAGCCTGGAGCCTGTTTCCGATTCTGTGTCTCCCTCCCTCTCTGCCCCTCCCCCGTTCATGCTCTGTCTCTCTCTGTCCCAAAAATAAATAAAAAACGTTGAAAAAAAAAATAAAAATAAATAAAAAAAGAAGACACACTAATTAGGAGCAAGCAGAAGTAGCTAATATTAAAAGCAGACAATGTACAATGAGTTCAGAAGAAACTACCCTGTAGGAGTATTGCAGTATTCTATTATTAAAATAGTCTATATTAGAATACATTGAATATATTCACCAGTGAAGCTATCTAGGACAAAAGTTTTCTTTATGGAAAGGTTTTTAATTACAAATTCAATTTCTTTAATACATATTGAGCTATTCATGTTATCCATTTCTTCTTGAATAAACCTTGGCAATCTTTGTTTTTAAAAACATTTGCCTGTTTCATCTACATTATCAAATTTATTGGCATAAAGTTATTTAAAATATTCATTTATTTTCTTTTTAAATTTTTTATTTTTTTATTTTAATGTTTATTTAGTTTTGAGAGAGTGTGTGAGCAAGAGAAGGGCAGAGAGAGGAGACACAGAATCGGAAGCAGGCTCCAGACTCTGAGCTGTCATCACAGAGCCCAATGTGGGGCTCAAACTCAGGACCCATGAGATCATGACCTGAGCTGAAGTCAGACACTTAACCAACTGAGCCAGCCAGGTGTGCCTCTTTTTAGATTTTTTTAGAAGTCTCTTTATTATTTTGAGAGAGAGAGAGACAGCAAGCAGGGGAGGGGTAAAGAGTGAGAAAGAGAGAGAGAATCCCAAGCAGGTTCCACACCGGCAGCACAGAGTCCAATAGGGGGCTTGAACTCTCAAACCCAGAGATCATGGCCTGAGCCAAAATCAAGAGTAGGATGCTTAATTGACTGAGCCACCCAGGCGCTCCCATTTATTTTCTTTTTAATGTCTACAGGATCTATAGTGATGTTTACTCTCTCTTATTTCTGGTATCAATTTGTGACTTCTTTTATTCCTGATCAGTTTGGCTACAAATTTATCAATTTTATTGATCATGTCAAAGAATCGGCTTTTGATTTCATTAGTTTTTCTCCATTTTTCATTTCACTGATTTGTTTCTTCTCTTCTGCTTAAGTTAGATTTAATTTGCTTTTTCTTTTTTTTATCTAGTTTCTTAAGGTAGAAACTTAAGTCACTGAGACCTTATATCTCTTATATATAAATAATTAGACATTTGGTGCTAATGAATTACCCTCTAAACACTGCTTTGGTGGCTTCCCACAAATTTTGATACTACATTTTCCTTTTTATTCAATTCAAAATGTTTATCATTTCTCTTCTGATTTCCTCATTGACTTAGGGATTTTTTTTTTAAATTTGTTTAATGTTTATTTTTGAGAGAGAGACAGAGCGAGCGAGCGAGTGAGCATGAGCAGGGCAGGGGCGGAGAGAGAGGGAGACCCAGAATCCGAAGCAGGCTCCAGGCTCCAAGCTGTCAGTGCAGAGCCCGATGTGGGACTTGAACTCATGGAGCCGTGAGATCATGACCTGAGCTGAAATCAAGAGGCGGACGCTTAACCGACTGAACCACCCAGGCGCACCCATGACTCAGGGATTATTTTAGAAATAAATTATTTAGTTTCCAAAATATTTGGGGGATTTTCCAAATACCTGTTATTGATTTCTAATATGCTTTCCACTGTACTCAGAGAACATACTTTGCATAGTTCTTTTAAATTGATTAAGACTTGTTTTATGACCCACAATAAGGTCTACCTTGGTAAAAGTTCCATGTGTATGTGAAAAGAATGGATACTACCTTGTGGCTGGAGGGTGTTCCATAAATGCTGATGAGGTTAAGGTGGTTGTTAGTACTATTTGAGTCATCTATATCCTTAACTGATTTTCTGTATACTTGTTCTATTAATTGAGAGTGGTGTTGAAATCTCCAGCTCTACTTGTGGATGTGTCTATTTCTTCTTGTTACATCCTCTGATTAACTGACACCTTTAGAACAAAATGCCCCTCTGGAATTTATTCTTCGAGACTGCTGAAAAAATACATAAATAAATAAAAATAAAAAGATCGCTGGTGGGATGCCTGGGTGGCTCAGTCAGTTGAGCGTCCGACTTCGGCTCAGGTCATGACCTCACGGTCTGGGAGTTCGAGCCCCGCGTCGGGCTCTGTGCTGACAGCTCGGAGCCTGGAGCCTGCTTCCAATTCTGTGTCTCCTTTTCTCTCTGCCCCTTCCCCACTCATGCTCTGTCTCTCTCTGTCTCTCAAAAATGAATAAACATTAAAAAAAAATAAAAAAAAAAAAGATCGCTGGTGTCAGTGAAGAAACTATTTACAGTAGTTCCCCACCCCCCCCCATACCTTATCCATAGGAGATCTGTTCCAAGGCCCCCAAGGGATGCCTGAAACTGCAGAAAGTACCCAAACCTATACATACTATGTTCTTTTCCTGCACATTCATACGATAAGTTTACTTATAAATTAGACACAGGGGTGCTGGGCAGCTCAGTCAGTTGAATGTCCAACTTCAGCTCAAGTCATGATCTTGTGGTTCATGAGTTCGGGCCCCACACTGGGGTCTCTGCTGTCAGTGCAGAGACCACTTCAGATCCTCTGTCCCCTCCCCTACTCATGGTCACTCACTCTCTCTCTCTCTCTCTCTCTCTAAAATAAACATTTAAAAAATAAATTAGGCAGAGTAAGAGATAAATAATAGAACGATTGTAACAATACATTGTAACAAGTTATATGAATGTGATCTCTCTCAAAATATCCTACTATATTCACCTTCTCCTTGTGATGATGTGAGGTAATAAAATGTCTATGTGATGAGATGAAGTAAAGTAAATGACATAGGGATTGTTACATAGCCTTAGGCTACTACAACCTTCTGATGATATGTCAAAAGGGATCATCTGCTTCCTGACCCTACCTTATGAACCATGTGTTTATAAAAGTCTTACCATATCAGGGGCGCCTGGGTGGCGCAGTCAGTTAAGCGTCCGACTTCAGCCAGGTCACGATCTCACGGTCTGTGAGTTCGAGCCCCGCGTCGGGCTCTGGGCTGATGGCTCAGAGCCTGGAGCCTGTTTCCGATTCTGTGTCCCCCTCTCTCTCTGCCCCTCCCCCGTTCATGCTCTGTCTCTCTCTGTCCCAAAAATAAATAAAAAGAAAAGTTGAAAAAAAAAAAAATTAAAAAAAAAAAGTCTTACCGTATCATCAAGACCATCTATGTGCAAAACCACTGTTTTGGCACGTTTGTTTGTAGTTCCCAGGAAAAACTGAGCTTTCCTTCTACGTGAATTCATTTCATTGTAACTATCACCATCTGCCATACTGGAAGACTGGAGAATGTCATAAATTTCAGAAGCCAGCAGTTTTGTTTCTCCTGGAGTTGTAGACCTTGAAAAGAAACACATATAAATTAATAAACTAGTCCGGTCACCTCTATTGATTCTGTAATTTTATTCAACTTTGCAGAGCCTTGTTTTCTTCATTCTGATGTTTCATTCAATTTAAAGGAAATACCTAGAATAATCAACATTGAAAAAGCAGTTAGTTGATAATAAGGTCTTCTAATTTTAAAACCATGGTTTACTGAGATTCAAAACTCATCACTATAATAGCATAAAACCACATTCAGGGGCACCTGGGTGGCTCAGTCAGTTGACCATCCGACTTCAGCTCAGGTCATGATCTCAGAGTTTGTGACTTTGAGCCCCACGGCGAGCTCTGTGCTGACAGCTCAGAGCCTGGAGCCTGATTCAGATTCTGTGTGTCCTTTCTCTGCCCCTCCCCTGCTAATGTTCAGTCTCTCTCAAAAATAAATAAATGTTGGGGCGCCTGGGTGGCGCAGTCGGTTGAGCGTCTGGCTTCAGCCAGGTCACGATCTCGCGGTCCGTGAGTTCAAGCCCCGCGTCGGGCTCTGGGCTGATGGCTCGGAGCCTGGAGCCTGTTTCTGGTTCTGTGTCTCCCTCTCTCTCTGCCCCTCCCCCGTTCATGCTCTGTCTCTCTCTGTCCCAAAAATAAATAAAAAACGTTGAAAAAAAAAATTAAAAAAAAAATAAATAAATGTTAAAAAAAATAATAAAAACTTAAAGTTTTTTAATAAAAAAATAAATAAAAGCACATTTAATCAAAATCATTAAACAGGAAATCAACTAAAAAGATTAGATTAGATGGGGCGCCTGGGTGGTGCAGTCGGTTAAGCGTCCGACTTCAGCCAGGTCACGATCTCGCGGTCCGTGAGTTCGAGCCCCGCATCAGGCTCTGGGCTGATGGCTCAGAGCCTGGAGCCTGTTTCCGATTCTGTGTCTCCCTCTCTCTCTGCCCCTCCCCCGTTCATGCTCTGTCTCTCTCTGTCCCAAAAATAAATAAACGTTGAAAAAAAAAAATTAAAAAAAAAAAAAAAGATTAGATAAGAACCTGTCCCTGGATTAACGTTAATATAATTTGAAGATCCCCTGACCCTCAAGAAAGTACAACACATAAAAAACCAAAAGGAGAAAACAAATTAGGAGAGGATCATTCATATTAGAATCATTATAAAAAAGAGATTTCTTAATAAATTCAAATTGTTTCTTAATTTACATTTTTTACGTATCTTTTACAAAGCATGAATATATTATAAAACCACAACTGGGGCACCTGGGTGGCTCAGCTGGTTAAGCGTCTGACTTCAGCTCAGGTCATTATCTCATGGCTCGTGAGTTCGAGCCAC